TAGAAGTTTTACTGTTATGCAATCTGTAATAATTTGTATAAATATCATCCCCATATTTGTGAATGCATATTAGACCCACCGCTGGCGTGTATTAGACTTTGTGAGGTCGTTTGTTTACTTTTGAATATCGGCAAAAATTTAACATTTCTGCTACTTTGAGCTCAGTTTCAAAGCCTTTTCCAGTGCTAAAACCAATCAAAATCATCTCTATTTCTGTAATATGTCTTCCATTCTATCAAATGAGACAAAGAAATCGCAAATACAACTATAAAAAACATACGAAAAAACACTGCAAAGTTGCTGTTTTAATTGAAAAATCATGATTTCATTTTTTTTCTCTCATTATACACAGTGTGCTGCAGATCTTTTTTTAATTGGTGCACACATACCAAAATAGATGTATTCTGTCATATCTAGGCCCAAATGTACCACTCACAGTTTATCAGAGTGAGCTGAGCTCTTGACGTATCCTAGGGTTTGGACCCTGAACGTAAACCCGTAGATCTACGGGAGGGACCCTGAAAGGGTTAATGCCAGGGTCCATCACATAAATTAACTCATGAGCTCAGCTCACTCAGATAAGCTGTTAGTGGAAAAAATTTAGCCTAGGTATGAGAGAATGGGTCTTTCGTGGTAAATATGCACAGAAATTAAAAAAAAAAAAATCCGCTGCCTTAGTTTGTCTTCAGGTGGGAGCTGGACAGACACCTAAAATAAATACCTGACCAGCTGGGCTGTAATTCATGCATTGGATTGCATGCAGCCTGCAGAAACAGCCTATTCCTGATGAGGCCTGGTCGGGACCCAGGCCACATGGGGCACTGACCCCTAGAACTCCCTCCAGGTAAATGTAATGCTGATGGGGAAAACAAAAAATTCGATTTTGTGTTTGGTTTAAAATAGCGACTGAAGTGCTTTCTGGGATGGTTTTTTGGTTTTATTGGCTGTTTCTTAGTTTTCATTTCATAGAAGGAAGACTATCTGCTGAAATAGAGATGTTTTTGGGGTTGGTTTTAAGACGGGAAGTAGTTTTGAAATTGGCCTCAGATTAGCAGAAATATTCAAGTTTTGCTGATGTTCATGTGGATTGTGGGGCCTCTCCTTAACCTCTCTCCCCCAGTTTTTTTTTTTATGAGTTTTTACTGGGTCTGATTCAATTATTGGGATGCTATAAACCATGTTGAGGGTATCAAATGATTTAGATAAAAAAAATTGGATATAAAAATTTGGGGAAGGAGTATATGGAAGAAGTGAATTTTTTCAGATACTTGGGAGTTGACGTGTCGGCGGATGGATTTATGAAGGATGAGGTTAATCATAAAATTTTGATGAGGGAAAAAAGGTGAGTGGTCCGTTGAGGTAAAACGTGGAGTCAAAAAAGTTACTATGGAGGCAAAGAAGGGAATGTATGAAAGTATAGTAGAACAACACTCTTATATGGATGTGAAGCTTGTGTGGTAAATGTAGCGCGAGGAGAAGGTTGGAGGCAGTGGAGATGTCCTGTCTAAGGGCAATGTGTGGACTTCCCGCAAGCGTGCGTGAGCATGTTAGATAGGAGTAATGGAGACAAATGGTAATTGGGACCTGACGCTCTGTTGGAGTGTGAGAGGGTAATATTTAGTGAAGGGATTCAGGGAAACCGGTTATTTTCATAGTCGGGCTTGAGTCCTGGAAATGGGGGAATACAATGCCTGCACTTTAAAGGAGGGGTTTGGGATATTGGCAGTTGGAGGGATTTTGTTTTGTGTATCTTTATAGGGATATGCTTCTGAACTGTTGTATTGTGAGCACCTCGCAAAAACAGTGATAATGTGTGAGTGTGGTGAAAGTGTTGAATGATGAAAGTATTTTCTTTTTGGGGATTTTCTTTCTTTTTGGGTCACCCTGCCTCGGTGGGAGACGGCTGACTTGTTAAAAAAAAAAAAAAGTAATGAAAAAATTATTCTTTTATATTGTGTTATTCAAGAAATAGGGCAAATCTTCAGTTTTTGTGTGTCATTATTCAGAATAGTAAAAAGTGTAATTAACCCCCTTAAGGGTCCAGACCGCAATTGAAGTGTCTACAGGGTCCAAGAATTTAAAAAAAAATATTTTTCTTATGAAATGGATAGAGAATTCTTTTTCTGGCAGTAATAAAGCAAAAAGTACAAAATTTGATGGAAAATTGACAAAATTCCACTTTTGCAAATTCTGCTGTTAAGAACATAGAAAGGGATTCCCCTGCAGCAGGCCTGTTGGCCCATACTCGCAGGTCCTTTACAATCCCTCCCACTAACAAAACATTTTCTCAACCCAATTTTCAATGCTACCCAAGAAATAAGGTCTGATAACTATCCACTCATTGGCAAAGTCACACTCAGGTCCCAAACCCCCCTCACTCGTATATTTATCCAACCTAAATTTGAAACTACCCAAAGTCCTAGCCTCAATAACCCAACTAGGGAGACTGTTCCACTCATCAACTACCCTATTTCCAAACCAATACTTTCCTATGTTCTTTCTAAATCTAAACTTGTCTAATTTAGATCCATTAACTGCGGGTTCTCTCTTGGAGAGAGATCGTCAAGACCTTATTAATATCCCCTTTATTAATACCCATCTTCCACTTATACACTTCGATATGGTCTCCCTCATTCTTCGTCTAACAAGTAAATGTAATTTAAGAGTCTTCAATCTTTCTTCAAAAGGGAAGATTTCTAATGCCATGTATTAATTTAGTCATTTTACGCTGAATGTTTTCTAATGAATTAATGTCCATTCTGTAATAGGGGAGACCAGAACTGAGCTGCAAAATTTTGGTGAGGCCTTACAATGATGTATAAAGCTGCAGTATAACCTCTGGCTTCTGTTGCTTACACTTCTTGATAAAAATTTCCCAATAATCTATTTGCCTTATTATGTACGTTTAGGCATTGCTTGTTTTGGTTTAAGGTTACTGCTCACCATAATCCCCAAGTCCTTTTCACAATCTGTATGGCTAAGTTCTACATTATTTAACTTAAAAGTGCTAGGGTTATGGACACTCCCGGGGCTTCAGAACCTTTCATTAATCTACAATGAACTGCATCTGCCACTTTGCTGACCAGGTATTGAGTTTGTCTAAACCCTCCTGAAGTAACCTGATATCTTAAAGTTTGGGGCTCAATTACCCTACCTATCTTTGTGTCATCGGCGAATTTGCTCATTTCACTTGTAAATTCCCTCAAGATCATTGATATATATATAAACAACAACGGGGCCCAAGGCTGATCCCTGTGGAACGCCACTTTGTTACAGATCCCCCCCTCGGATTTAAAACCCATTTATGGACACACACTGCTTCCTGTCTGTGAGCCATGACTCGATCCCTGAGAGCACTTTTCCCCTAATGCCTTTAGCTGCCACTTTTTTTTAACCCTTTGACTGTCGCAAACCCCAATCCTGAGGTGTCTCCTGGTGTCGCAAAATTTAAAAAAAAAAAAAAATATTTTTTCTTATGAAATGATAGAGAATCTTTTCCCGATTGTAATGACACCAAAAGAACGAAATTTTATGGAAAACTGACAGAATTATGCTCTCCCCGAAGTTAGCGATCTCGGCGCTGTTTACAAATCGGCGATTTCACCCACTTTGAGCCCTATTTTCGGGAATTCCATGTTCCCGTCGCCCAAAAACTCAGTTATTTCTTTAGAATCCATTTTTTCTATCGATTGAGTACAAGAAAAATTGCCCATTTACCGATTTCAACTACCTAATAATGTGGTCAGAAATTTGCAATTTGGCCAATTTCACGAAAACTAAAAAAATATGACAATTTCAAAATAAGGCCCAGAATGAACAAGCAGACATTCCTGGCTCTAAATAACATTTTTCTTTGTTCATCAGTCATGTCTCCAGGCCCTCTGATATTACTCTTGCTTTCTATTTGAATTTTTATTCAAACAAAAAATAGAAGACTTACTATTATGCAGACTACTGCATACTGTAATAATTGTATAAATAACATCAACCCATTCATGACTGCATATTAGAATGGCTAGTTGGCATTTATTGGACAATGGCATCATTTGTTTACTTTTGAACAC